CCCACCCATTTTCTATTTGTATTATTTTTTATATTCACTCTTATAAATATTATTTTAAAGTAAGAAACAATTATTGAATATGGTTTTTAGAATCAACAATAGGATACAAGATTTCATGTTGAAGAGAAATTTCACGCAAAATTAAACTAAAAATATGAGTTTTGCAAAAAAAATTGACGTGATGGATTTTTTTACTATTACTTTCGGTTTTAGTGAGTAAAAATCTATAAGAAACAGTAAAAATATCCTATGCAGTTTTTTGGTTGCAGACCTGTGTAATTAATGAACCACTGGAGTTATGCATCTGAAATTTGGTACAGTGATACATCATATAATATATCTACAAATTATGAATGGAATGTTGTTTGAAATTTAACAATTACTAACATAATAATGGATAAGAAATTTCAGATTATGTCCAACACATTTGATGTAAACAAATTTTGGACTTCAGACAAAAGTTATTCCAAAGTGATACTGAAGATGTTAACAACCATTAATANGTGTTGACTTTAAGTACAATAAATACAACTGATATTATTATTCTTGAACTAGGTATTTTTTTAAGAAATCCCAGAAGACTGCTTTCTTCATAGTCACCGCCATGAAAGTCTCAAATCTTACAAACCATGAAAATATTTATAATTGCAAGTTATAAAAAAATTAGTCATTTAGGACTCAATCATCTGATCATCTGTATAAGAGTCCAGCATGCTGCTCCATGAGCCCAATTGCATTTTATCATTGGGTTAATCTACATTATCTAACAACATAAAATCTGTAGGACTGGAAGTCTGTGACAGGAATGTACCATAAGCCTTGTGGGTTATATTCAAACTTGTTTACTCTTTTAAGATTCTGATGTTAAAAAAAAAGCCAGAATTTAATATATCCATTTCAATATTTTCAGAAAATCTAGATTAATTACGTACTATGAGGAAATAATAATGTGAGGATGAGGTCTTATGTACACTCTGTAACATCAAAGGAAATAAAATTTAAATGGGCAAAAATTATTTGTTTCAGCAGTATGAGGAAGGTGCCACAAATAAACCACAAAATCACATATTTATATGCAAAAACTTTCTTAAAAAGCATTCTTGTCTTTGTGCATATTTGTATGGATGTACCTTGTGTACATAAATAAAAGCAATGCAGCCAGAACATTACTTTGTTTCTGTGATGTTTTACAGTTCTCAACATATATAACTTTTAATTTTGTCTCAATTTATTTTAGCGTATGCAGCACTGACATTGTAGTAAGATGACAGTAAAAAGTAAAGCTGTCCCTGTGCTTAAATACTGTAATTTAGCAGTACGCCATGAAGACATGTGGGGGGAGTGGATGTATAGATCCACATTTTCTTGACCTCAGCTTCGATCCCTCGGTCGTCCAACCTGTAGCTAATCTCTATACATACTACGCTATCCCGGCTTCTAATGTGATTACAGTACTATTCAAATAATTCAACACTGCTGGCAATAAAGGTAGTAAACAAAATTATTCAGTACACTTACTAGGGTCAGTTTAACCCTTAAAGGAAACTCTTTCTTGTAGAAAAATATTTGGATGATTATTATACATGGTGTTGTCATCACTTTTGCAACCTGATACGTCCCGACGGTGTTGTTTTGTAAACTTAAATTGGTAAAAACTACAAATCCGCAAAACGTGAATGCCAATGGCACCATATCTTTTAAAGGCACATGCTTCACTTTAAAGACATTGCATTTCTGACACAAAACCAGCCCTACAAACGTAACAACAAAATGTAGAAATGTCAATGTCAAATTGGGAAATCCTACATACTTATACACCCACTTGTTCAGTAAAACTATAACTATAGAACTGACTATGTTGAAAATGAGATAGAACAAAGTAATAAGCGTTCCTTCGCTGGTATTTTCCATTTCTTCCAAATATAAAAAGACTACTCGTAGAACTCAGAAATTAATGGTGTAGGATGGTATGTTATTTTATAAGTTTACGGAAGCGTAATATCCATTCCGCTTTCATCGCTACCACCGATACCACCGGCCCTGTACGAACAATCCATTCGGGCACATGCCACCAAGACAGCCAACCACACGCAACAGGGCAGGGATAGATAAGGTAAATACATAACATAACTACTCACGGATTAGCAAGATCAACTGTTACTGATAGAATAGATGTGATATGTATGTCTCGTAGACATGCTTTTTGGGTGCTATTGTTTGGAATTATCGAGCGTTATCAATAGCATACAAAATGTTATCTTAATTCTCGTCTGAAGGTCAAGTACATATATATATGAAATCAATGGGGATCAGTCTGGATTTCGACGTAACAGATCAACTACTTATCAAACTTTTTATTCTTCAGATACTGGGGAGGGAATGGGAGCTTTGTGAGACAGTACATCAGCTGTACAGAGAATTCAAGAAAGCCTATGAATCTGTTAGTTGGGAATTATTGTATAACATTACCGTTGAGTTTTCGGTACCCATGACTAATTAAAATAGGTTCAAATGACAGCTATAGCGAAGTCAGTATAAGTAAAAATTTTCCTGATATTTTCCCTACCCAAAATGGTCTAGAACAGTGTTCCGCAACTTTTTCTACTCAAGGCACACCATGAAGTATCCATGACTCAACACGACACACCAAAATATTATTCCCCTCAAAAAAATATATCAGACAATTAATATAAATACGTAACGTGATCAACTTATTACTATAATATTATTATTTTATTATCATTAAACAGAAATCGACTCGTGCGTTTAATGAACTTTAATTCACTGTAGAGTGTAGAAAATACACTGCTATTACTATTAAAGTAAATACAGTAATTCTACACATACCCTCAATGTTATACTTGCGCCTGCGTAGCTGCACGCAGGCGACTGATTCGTGGTGGAATCGTTGACAACGCAAGTCTCATTTCTTCATCGATGGATTTGAGCCGCTCCCTCTTTGATGTCTTAATTTCAGTTAACGTCGAGAAGCCCAGTTCACACAAATATGT